ACCTTTTATGCTCAAATCTTATAACCAAGCAAAGATGAATGATAGGCTTGATTTCCTATGAAACCAACAGTCTAGAATAAAGGAAACTGGAATTATGAACTAGAATAAATCAAATTGAGTTTATTTCTTAAAACTAAGCAATTAAACTGATATTATAATCTTCAAGATATGCAATGATGTGATTCTCGTTTCCTATATGAATGCACATGATACTCCAATATATGCCTTGATGTGCACGTTTTCAGTAATTAAACCTAGAAACTACGACACGCCTAAAATATAGAACTAATATATTGCAGACGCATTAAACTTGTCTAGGAAATTAGCCAAATACAAAAGCTTGCGCTTTCACACTTGCATTCAATTAAGTCCTTAAGAACAAACCTCAGCCAAATTGCTTGAGAATAGCCTCTCCAAGGAAGAACATCACTTCGAAGAAAGTCGTCTTTGACTTTGGGCTAATCAAGGGTTGTCATTCCTTTAATTCTATGGTGAAATTGGGTTAAGATAAAAAATAATTTTTTTTAACAAATGATATTATCTACATTAAAGAGAGAGTGTGCTAAACCTAACAATGGGCTAGCATAATGTGGTTCAAATTCTCTTTTGTCGATAATCTAACCTAAAACCTTTCATTTACAAGTGAAGGGAAAAACCACTAGACCGAAGTACTAAGTGGCAATACTTTGGATTAGTTTGGTATTCCTGTGCTTTCTAAAAAAATGTGATTATGTTGTCCTATGAGAATAAACAGTTGTTGCGTGTTTGATAACTTTTTTTTTTTGTAAAAGTGCTTTTAACACAAAAAAACAGTGTCTGAGTGTTTGGTAAATTGTTATATAAATTGTTGTGAATGTGTTAAATAACTAAAAAGGATATGGTATGTAGTGTGATATAATAATTGTCAAAGACAATAACGTAGGGGCAAAAATTGTAATTTTGTAAAATATGTGGGGTTGTACTTGCCTTTGAAAATTTTATTAAATGAGCACTAATTACTATATTTCGAAGAAAAAAACAAAGCACTTTCTTTAGAAGCATGGTAGACTCTGTTTTTGTTTTTTCTATGCTTTTCTATTGTCATTGACAACAGTTTTTTAAAAAATCATTTTTTTTTTTGTTACTGTTGACCGGAAAAACTACCAAGCCCACGTGGCGCGTAGGCCAAATAATTAATAAGCTAACTACGTCATTCGGTTGTGTGTGGGGCGTGCCAACTCGTCGGCCGAGCTCGGCCGGGGAGTAAAATGTTTTAATGTCATGTTGGGCGTGCTGTTGACTTCTTGATCTTACGACTGCGGCCGAGGAAGGAACATGTCTCGGCCTTCCGGATCTAGAGCCTGAAGACAAGGTTGCTAGTTCTGCGAAGTTCAAAATCAAATTCAGCTTTCAATGTGCCGAATGTAGTAACCTGTAACACCTCACTTCGTCGAGAAGGCTAATGAGATGACCTCTGCCAATAAGGATTTGAAAATCCTTCTCGACCGAGACTTAGATAGATAACTAGTCGGCCTATTCGCAGTGCTGTTTATCTAAATTGTAGGTGCTCCGCGGTCGACTGATTCTATGGCAACAGTGTTGTTTATCCAAACTGAAGATGTTCGCCGGTTGCCTTCACAGTGATGTTTATCCAAACTGAAGATGTGTTGGCGAAAAAGGAAAATAAAAATCTCAAGGTTGTTGAGAGGTTTCGCGTAGAGCGAGAGTTTGCGCATGGCAGCTTGTGTGTTGAATTGGAGGGGGTCATCTTCTCGTTGCCACTGCCTCTGTATTTATAGGGACGCGCCGACTTGATCTTTGAATATTGCACGAGATTTTTGGCGTGGATCAGACTCAACCAAATGCATGGAGTTCTCATGCAATTATCCAACCAATTTAAAATCTCCATCATTATCTCCTTTTCTCCTTATTGTGTCCATCATTATCCAAGTATTTGATGATCTCCATGTGCTGGAACCAAGGCATGCAAATAATTAGCATGCAAGTTTATCTCTTAGCCATGCATTTCAAACTGAAACATCACAACAATCCACTCATCTTTCCACCAAATTTGACCAGGTGCAATCATGCACTATCAAAAAGTTCAAACTTGATCCCATCTTTCCCATCCTTTCAAAGCCCACGAGTTCCAATCTGATGCAATTTGTCCGACTAGATTCTTGGCATCCTACCAAGGATAATTTGGGGGTGCTCTTTATTCCACCATCACTTTATAATTTTATCCATGCATGCATAATAACCTTCAGCCGTCTAAGTGAACTCCAAATTTTGTTTGTTTACTAATTATCATCATACTTTAAATGGATAATAATCAATTTGCAGCATACCACTTGAACCTGTCAGTCAACCAAACTGATCTCACCCACACATTCACACGCCAAACATCCAAAATCAACTTGAATTGTGCTACCGTGTTTCCAGCTTGGAGATACATATCTCATCTTAATTATCATTAAAAGATAATTATCATAATATTATCCTTCAATAATAACAAAACGATCTTCACTATTCGATCTGATGGTTGGGGGCTATGCTTACTCAATGACCTTGATTGCATGGGCCGATGATGTAATTTTGGGTCCAAACAGTTACCAAACACACTTAATGTTCCAGATTTTTTAAAAGCATTACAATCCCAAATCAGCCATTTGTTAAAATGTTTAGAATTTTCTCAACCAAATGGCTCAAATGTGTAGGGGGAATACTATTATGTAGTTGGCATTCAGTGACTTGCTTAATTTCTTTGATTAGTGAATATGTTCTAGATTGTTAAATTATTTTGTATAAACTTAGCATCCATAAAGCATTTTAAGTTAAACCATATTCACTAGCAAGAGCATTTAAATTGTACGACGTAGAAGACAATTCTGAGATCAATCATAATCATGTTTCGAATTTTTACATTTTTGCAATTGAGTTATAAGGAAAGACGTTCACTATTCTGTTAAAAATAAGGGAAAAACACAACAGTACATAAGATCACAGTTATAAGCATGAATATATAAAACCATATAGTACTAACCTGAAGCAGCAGGCATGATGCTAAGGTTATAGGGTAAGGAAGTTTTCTCCACACACAATCAGAATGTTCTTTACTGATGAATAGGGTAAACAACACTAAAGAAGAACGCATACTATGTGTGCAGAAACATCCATATTTATATCACTAGGGTTTCCTACTAATCTGCCTATCATCGAATAGTCAGGAATATCCCATAGCTTATGATATCAATTATGTTTCTTAACATGATATATAAGTCTTACCAAATGAGGCCTCCTAATTAGTTGCATGTGATTAAGACTTCAAATCTCATTCATATCAGGACTCCCACATATTTGGCCGAGAATCAACTTGGAGAAAACTTCCTTACCCTATAACCTTAGCATCATACCTGCTGCTTCAGGTTAGTACTATATGGTTTTATATATTCATGCTTATAACTGTGATCTTATGTACTGTTGTGTTTTTCCCTTATTTCTAACATGATATATAAGTCTTACCAAATGAGGCCTCCTAATTAGTTGCATGTGATTAAGACTTCAAATCTCATTCATATCAGGACTCCCACATATTTGGCCGAGAATCAACTTGTTACCAAGTTGATTGTCGTGTAAGTCAACGGATGGGATTTCATTGATATTCAAATAATCTTACATATTCTTCTAAGAAGAGGTTTGAATTAAACCCATTTACATCAAATGGGTGGGTCATTTGTGGAGTGGCAGCGGCACAAGAAACCAAGTGTGATTTGCCTACAGAGCCGTAATCTCATGTTGCATGGCAGCACGCCAATGGAGGTCTTGAACAGCCTGCGAAAAACTTATGGGTTCTTTAATGACCGTGAGGTTAGCTGTATAGGATTTATGGTAGGGTGAAAAACAATTATACGATAAGTGGTGAGAGAGTGGATGAGAGGTACCTGATGACTTAACCACGTTCATTGAAGATGTCGAAGTAAGTCTTGACGAAAGAGAGGTCTCGACGTGAAAGTCCTGCAAAAATGAGGAAGGCTTTGTGGGACGTATGACACGGTGGAGTGGTAATGGTGTAGGTGCAGGGCTGGGCGGGGTGAAATAAGGACAGTAGGTGGTGTTTCTGGAGAAGGCAAGATCCTGTTCGGTATTTGTGATGGTGATAAAGGTGGCTGCAATATTTCTGGTGTTGGTGGGCATATAAGGTTTGTGTGGTATCATGGGATTCAAGAGATAACTTGTTAGATGTGATGACTTGAGGAATGGTGGGAGGGAAAGAGTCCATATCTAAGTGCAATGGTGAGAAGTTTGTATTGAACAAGGAATTAGAGGCAGCGGAAATGTCTGAGGTGTGGTAGGGAAATTGATCTCAAAAAAAAAAAACATCCCGTGACACAAAAACCTTTCGGAGGGTAAGATCAAATAATCTGTAACCTTTTTTTACCATAGGGATAACCAATGAAAATGCGACGACATGCACAAGGGTCAAATTTTAAAGGCAACTCGTAGGTGAAAGTAATTCAGTTCCTTGTGAAACAATTTTTCATATGGTGTTTTTCCTTGAAGAATTGGTGTGGGTGTTCGATTTATGAGATAGGCAGAAGCTAGGATTGCATCCCACAAAAACGTTCAATTAGGAAGATTAGCTTGAAAAAGTAAGGCTCGAGCAACATTAAGCAAGTGTCGATGCTTACGTTCAGCGACACTATTTTGTTGTGGTGTGTTGATGCAACTAGTTTGATGGACAATTCCCTTGAGATTATAGAAAGTGTCAAGTTTGAACTCAAGACCATTGTCACTTCAAACCATTTTGACCTTAGTATTGAACTGATTTTCTACCATGTGGATGAATTGGACAAGGAATTCTATTGTATCGGATTTGTGTTTCATCAAATAAATTCATGTGCTCATAGTATAATCGTCAACGATGGTGAGAAACTATTTTGCACTTGAAATAGAAGTAACTTGATAACCACCCCAAATATGAACATGGATTAACTCAAAACATGACTTAGTGGATATGGAACTCAATGAAACGGTAATCTCATTTGTTTGGCCAATGAGCAAAAATGAAACATTTATTTGAATCACAAGATTTATTTTGGAAAAAAGGAAATAACATGGAAACTTTATGCGATGGAGTGCCCAAAAAGTTGATGCCAAAAGCTATAAGGTGGGGTTTTGACAGTTTTGCATGTTCCTTTCTTTGGTGGGTCGAGATAATAAAGTCCATCTCGTTCAATTCCCGTCACAATCATCTTCCCTGAACGTAGGTCCTGTACGACACAAAATTGGTTTAGAAAGATTGTGATGTATAATGAGTCATAGGCTAATTTGCTAATTGATATCAAGTTTAACGTAAAGAGTGGTACACACAAAACGTTATCAAGAACAAGGTTGGGAAAGAAAATAACTTGTCCAACATGAGTAATTTTAGCAAATGAGCCATTTGGTAATTCAGCAGTATGGTTTTCAACGGGTCTTGAAGATGCGAGGGAATCAGGACTGCAAACGATATGGTCTGTGGCCCCACTATCCAAAATCCAAACTTTTTTCTTGTCATTGCATGTGAAAGAAAAAGCTTTACCTGAAAGTTCTTATGGTTTGAAGAATTACCCACTTGGTTGGCAAAATATGATTTGTTCCTGTTCAGCATTTGGAGAATTTGCTTGCAATCCTCCTGAGAAAAAGGAAAGTTAGGCATCACTTCCCTTTTGTCGTGGGTTGCAACTTGATTGCCTTTGGAGGAGAAAGGTCGACTTTGTTCACTCTCAAAGGCTGTCTTCCTCTTGAGGCAAAAACCAAAAAAGTGACCCTTCCATCCACAGAAGGTACACTTGAGATAAGCACGACAATTTTTAGTAGTGTGATTCGTCTTGTTGCACTTCCCAAATCGAGGTCCACCGTCCTCTTATTCAGCTTCTCGGCTAGTGGTTTTCACGGCAAATTCCGCAACTTCTGGTTGGGTAATATTGTTTTTCCCACCGGAAACTTCCGCCTGTCTCTCAACACGGAGAACCAATGAGTAGGCTTTGTTTACTGTGGGCAGTGGCTCAAGAGAAGAATGTTGTTGCGAACGGTGGCATAAGAATCATTCAACCCCATGAGAAACTTCATGGTCTTCTGTGTTTCAACGTACAAAGCAATCTCCTTCTTTGTTTCACAATTACATGCCACAATCGAACATAGTACTCCTCGTTCATCCTAGAGACTTTTTAGTCTGGTGAAGTAGGAACTTACTATCATGATTCCTTGCACGTAGCTGTGAATCTCATTCTTTATGTAAAACAGTTAGACGATGTTCACATGAGAGTTTGCCCTAATACGTCTAAACTTGTCTAATTTCATTACTTTGTTGTGGAATATTTGATAAGTATTTAACGTCATTTCTTTTTTGTTTTTTCACTTTTATACCGTCTGTTATACATTTATGTGATTAAATCTACATGAAGAATATTAGGGTTCCAAACTTAATGCGTGTGATGTCTCTATGACGAACGTGACTAGTTCATGTTAATTTGTACTTATTTAGGTGGGATTTGAGTATTGAACCCTTGCCTTATGTACTTAATCACATCTTTTAAGTTGCCCAAACTCTCAATTTCTTTGCGGCAGTGCGCAGTCGAACAACATGCAGCCTTGCCCCCACATTTCAAGGAAATATCATTTTTTTTTTGTCGAAGGAAATATCATATCAATTGGGCAATTTCATGGGTGGAGAAGCTGTTGAGAGCCTGCATGCAAATGAATAGGATGAAGTTGTTGCCACTATAGATTGTAAAAGAGTTAAGGATACTGAGGAAGATTTTGTAAAAGAGTGCTGCATTCTCGATAGAGTGCTTCATGCGTAAGGATGGCAACGATTCGGATCGAAAACTTTTGCACTCTTATTTATTTAACTGTGAAAAATATTGGTACACATAACCACAAATTAATCATTTACATGATAACGAATTTCCCATCGTTTAACTTTACTAGTTTACCCATTTCACCCATAACAAAACAGAAAAAAACAAATTTTTTGTAATTAATAGAAGAAAAAAAACCCCCATATTTAATCACATTATGTCAATCACGGTCTAGTGGTATTCCTCTTCACTTGTAAGTGAGAGGTGTTAGGTCCGATTCTCGTCAAAGGGGAATTTGAATCATATTATCGCTAGCTCATTGTAGCACTTAGCACACTCCCAATAAACAGCCACCCTCTCTCTCAGTCTCTCTCGAAGCAACTGCTGCAAGCATGCAACTCTCTCAAACAAAAGAACAAAGCCTCCCTCCACCACACAAATACGGCCAGCCACCACCACACACAACCACAAGCCACCACGATCCGGCGATTCTCCATTTCCCTCTCTCAGACTATCTCTTTCTAGGAGTCGGCGTCTCTCTCGACAATTTCTACAACAACGGTGAGCTAAGAACTCTCCATCTCGCATTTTGATTTTTCATCATTTACCGTCGCTTCTTATTCTCTGAAATGGAAGAGACCCCCGATGATTGAGATCTTGAACGTCATGCAAGAAATTAAAAGCGAGAAGCCCCGGTAATCCTCTTTATTTAGGGATTTAGGATTAATTTTTTATTTAGGATGCATGTTGAATTAGGGATTTATGATTTAGGGCTTTTGATTGTTGCTGCATTTGGATTTGGATTTTTGGATTAATTTTATGTGGATTTGGTTGATTTGGATTTCTGATATTGGATTTGGATTTGGGTTTGATTTGTTTATGAGGCAAATTCCTATTGAATTGAAATTCCGAACTGTACGACCGAATCCAGAAACTTGTTTTGAGAATACCGAAATTTCGGTTCGGTTTTGATTTTCAGAATCCCATCCTGATAAAGATTGGTTGGAGATTCGACTGATCGAGATGGCGATTCGTACCACCACTAGTTTTGATCAAGGTCTAAAATATCGATGATATCGGAAATATCGGTAGTCCAAAAACACGAAAATTTCGATGAAAATATCGGGATATTATCTGTCACAGCTCGTCTCAAGATTCTATTTGTCGAGGTTGTGAAATGACGAAAGTACCCTTGACGGTTACAAAGGTATGTGTATGGCATGTTTTGAATAATGTATATTTTCCTAAGTTTTGGAAAATTTAAGTTGGATTAAAGGATGTATGTATATTTGTGTGGTTAGGGAATTAAGAGTGACTTGTTTTTGGGTGGACCACACACAAACGCACGGGACAAACCTTTCATTCCCTGTGCCGTCTCTCTCTTCCCTCGCAGCTCACACTCTCTCTCCCTTCGAATTGTACGGACCAAAGCACAAAACCCTCGAATCACCACGGATCGACGCCAATAAGGTGAGATTCTTCATCCTTTTAACCTCCTGATTTGAATGGTGTTACTTTTAGAACTGAAAACTTTAGAAATCTCGTCGAACCCGTGACCCATTTTGAAATCACTATTCATGCACACATGAATTGTTGAATTTCAGGGAATTCTAAGCCTACAGTGAGCTTAGTGAGGTTCTAAGGAAGCTCGGAGTGCTTAGTTTGAAGGTTTTGGACGTCGGGATTGTTGAGTTCTAAGTTGGCCGGTTTTCTTGGAATTTCTCCGGTGAGATTTCGTAGTTTTTAGAGCCTTAAACTAGTACATCGTGATTCTACATGCTTAGGGCTTCATTTTGAAATAAAATGCATGAAAAATGGTTGAGAAATGACGGAGAACAAGGAGATTAAAAAATCTCCAGTTTTCCGATGACCGGAAAAACCAATCTGGCGATTGGAGGAAGAATATGACGCGTGTAGGTCTGTGCCCCTCCCGGCACGTGGGGGCGCGTGTGGCCTCGGAAATTTTTTCTAAAAATACCTCGACGTCCGTGACGTCGAGTAGGTCACTGTGGTATATTCATATACTCAAATTGAGCATCGTATGAGAAGTTATTACGAATTGTCGGTTATGTGCTTTAAATAACATTGTTTTAGTTGTTTTGCATATAGGTGATACCTATCCTGAGGACAAGCGCATCCAGGGACGTCACGGGGGTTACGACCCTTCGACTTATCAGTGAGTGGGCAGTTGTTTTCTATTTATACCTATATACTATTGATTTCCCATAAATTGAATTTATATGAAAGTATGTTTGAAAATGCCATGCATGCATATTGTGAATTATATGAGTTGATAATTGATGCATATATATATATATATATATGCGAATTGGTGATGTGGACGCACAGGTGAGTATCAGGTGAGTTTTATGTTATTTATGTGAATCATTGATGATATGAATTGTGTTGAGAGCTCATAACATGCACCCCTGGTGTTAGTGTTTATAGTATTCACCGCACCGCACGCTCACCTTGGATCCAAGTAGGTGCATGTCGTACAGACCATGAGAGGGTTCCGACATGCTAGTCGTACAGATCACTTAAGGTGGTTCCGACTGGTAGGTGACCTTAGATTATGTGCACAGATGATTGATGAGAGAAGCACTAGAGCGTATTATTACACCATTCTTGTTGTACAGACTACTTCAGGTAGTTCTGACTTATGTGCAGAGTAGTGTCGTACAGGTCACCATGGTGACTCCGATTGGTTGGATATTGAGCTATGGAATTAACCGTACAGGACCAACTGCAGGGTCTCCGGTTGATTCATTATGTCACCTGTTATATTGATGCATCCATATTCTGTTATTGACATTTATGGCATGGCATATTTTCTGGGTTTTGGTAAAGATTGGTGATTTGAGATATTTGAAGAAGTATATGCATATTATGTTATTTTCTGGGAAAGTATATAGGTTTTACAACGAAGGGTTAGAAATGTTTTAAATAAAATGTTTTTGAAAAACTTTGGTTTTACTGACCCACTCAATTTTGTTTTGCGCCCCTCCAGGTTCTAGTTAGCAACGTTGGTGGCCCACGAGGATTCCCACGGCGTACTGACAGACTACATAAATGTAGGACTCACCTGCGAGTGTTGTAATTTAGTTATGGTCCTACTTGACTACACCTAGTACTTATGCTCTGAATTTGTGTGTTTCACACTTAAACTTACTCTAGCATGCTAGTTGGATATTATTGCTAGTAGTTGGTTTTTATTCCTTCGTATTTCTCTTATCTTTTGCTTCCGCATCGCACTTTTGGTTACGTCACGCTCACGTGATGGCCAGCACACCTTGATTCTAGGATCGGGGTGTGTCATTATCGATATCGATAAAAATTAAATAAAAACCACGGAAATTGTAAGAAAAACTTGGAAATTTTTATTGAAACTTTGCAGGATGTTTATTTAGTCAATTATCTATTAGTTTATCACAAAAAAAATGGAAGGAAATGCATTGCATGATGAATTTAACTGATTTAAGTTGATTATATAGCGAGCTGACAAACATTGTGAGTGTAGAAAATATGTAGTAATTAATGAAAGAAGTTTAAACATACCATAATCATTTATATATAATGAATTAGTACAATATTTTACACTTTATACATTGCATGGTAAGATACATGAGTGACTTAGTACCACATAGAGTTCCTATCAAGGTCTAAAATATCGATGATATCGGAAATATCGATAGTCCAAAAAAACGGAAATTTCGATGAAAATATCAATATTTTAGACCTTGGTTTTGATCTGGAAAGAAGTTTGATTATGGAGCATGCATATTCACTTTCTACTTGTGCAATCTGACTTTTAGAAGACACATATACTTCAACACCTCTGCTTACATTAGTAAGCGAGGTGGACAACTCTAAGGCGTGCAGTGGTGAATTGCATATTGATTTACTGCTAAAAAAAGGAGAGGAAAATAAATAAAAATAGAAAAAACTTATAAATATATGCAATACCTAACAAAGCACTTAAAGACTTTCGAAGTCGTGGCCTACTGGCATGCACACAACACGCACGCACACACGAGACACACGTGTGTCACAGTGGGGGAAACCCTAGCAGCCAGCTCATTAGACTATTTCCAACCCTTGGGTTAAAAGTCAATTTTTTAAGCCCATAAAATTTAGCCTTTAGCCTATAAACAATTTTTCTACTTTAATCCTTCTAGCCTAAAATTTTAGTCCGGGATTATTAAAGAATGAACTTAAGCTAATTTTTTTTCTTAAATTAACCTTTTTAAAAATAAAAAAAATTTATGTAGACTATCATAAATTAATTTTATGAACATTTTAATCTAAAAATATTTAAATTCCGATAAATATTGAAAAATCACTAGATCGATACATGAAACACTATGGAAGAATATGAAAATCATGATAAAGATGTATAAACACAAAATACATAAAACACACAAGACACAGAACACATGTGAA